ACAACAAATTTCCTTTCATCTATTGAACAGTTCTTTAGGGCACCCGATGTAGTACTTCATGGAAATTGTACAAATAAACCTCTATTTTGAAGAGTATATGATTTAAATAGACTGGACTAAGTTCAATACACAGTAAAATATCCACCTGCTGTTGGATGCTTACAGTGTTCAATTAAAAGATCAACAGTGTTAAATTGTTGAATAAAGTTTCTAAATAGTTCTTAGCTTGGATGTAAGGATCTTCCAACATTAGCCTTAGTACACAACAAAAAACTAAATCCAACTACATGAATAGAGTTGAGTTGAACGGAGATGAGTTGAACAGAGATGAGTTGAATTGAGTTGAATGGAGCTGAGTTGAACAGAGCTGAGTTAAACTGAGTTGAATGGAGCTGAGTTGAATTGAGTTGAGATGAATGGAGCTGAGCTGAATTAATTGAATGGAACGGAGTCGAACTGAGTTGAGTTGAATGGAGCTGAGTTGAATTTAACTGAATGGAACGGAGTCGAACTGAGTTGAGTTTAACAGAACTGAGTTGAACTGAGTTGAATGGAGCTGAGTTGAACTAAGTTGAGTTGAACAGAGCTGAGTTGAATTGAGTTGAATGAAGCCGAGTTGAATTAACTTGAGTTGAATGGAGCTGAGTTTAATTAAGTTGAGTTGAATGGAGCTGAGTTGAACTGAATTGAGTTGAATGGAGCTGAGCTGAATTGAGTTGAAAGGAGCTGAGTTGAACTGAGTTGAGTTGAAAGGAGCTGAGCTGAATGGAGTTGAATGGAGCTGAGTTGAATTGAGTTGAATGGAGCTGAGTTGAACTGAGTTGAGTTGAATGGAGCTGAGCTGAATTAAGTTGAAAGGAGCTGAGTTGAACTGAGTTGAGTTGAATGGAGCTAAGTTGAATTGAGTTGAATGGAGCCGAGTTAAACTGAGTTGAATGGAGCTGAGTTGAACCGAGTTGAGTTGAATGGAGCTGAGCTGAACTGAGTTGAATTTAACTGAATGGAACGGAGTCGAGTTGAATGGAGCTGAGTTGAGTTGAATGGAGCTGAGTCGAACTGAGTTGAGTTGAATGGAGCTGAGTTGAATTTAACTGAATGGAACGGAGTCGAACTGAGTTGAGTTGAACAGAACTGAGTTGAACTGAGTTGAATGGAGCTGAGTTGAACTAAGTTGAGTTGAACAGAGCTGAGTTGAACTGAGTTGAATGAAGCCGAGTTGAATTAACTTGAGTTGAATGGAGCTGAGTTTAATTAAGTTGAGTTGAATGGAGCTGAGTTGAACTGAATTGAGTTGAATGGAGCTGAGCTGAATTGAGTTGAAAGGAGCTGAGTTGAACTGAGTTGAGTTGAAAGGAGCTGAGCTGAATGGAGTTGAATGGAGCTGAGTTGAATTGAGTTGAATGGAGCTGAGTTGAACTGAGTTGAGTTGAATGGAGCTGAGCTGAATTAAGTTGAAAGGAGCTGAGTTGAACTGAGTTGAGTTGAATGGAGCTGAGTTGAATTGAGTTGAATGGAGCCGAGTTAAACTGAGTTGAATGGAGCTGAGTTGAACCGAGTTGAGTTGAATGGAGCTGAGTTGAACTGAGTTGAATTGAGCTGAGTTGAACTGAGTCGAGTTGAACGGAGCTGAGTTGAGTTGAATGGAGCTGAGTTGATTTGAGTTGAGTTGGATGGAGCTGAGTTGCTGAGTTGAGTCGAGTTGAATGGAGCTCATTTGAACTGCATTGAATTTAACTGAATTGAGTTTAACTGAATTGAATTGTGTGGAATTGGGCAGAGCAGAGAAGACTTGAGTTGAGTTGAGTCGAGTCGAGATAAAATTAGCCTGATTACATCTAATCTACTCAAACAGTACTCAAAGACGCTTCACAATACAAAATAAATAGAAGATAATAATGCACTTTAATTTTAGGTATTTTGATTTGAGTGTGCTACAGTTTCTCATTAGGCTGAATGAGATTTTTGTCAGCATGTCCAACCTAGCAACACATTTGTGGGCGGAGCCTGGAGAGGTCAATGATAATAAACGCAAAGAGGTGCAGCGTCCCAGCGGTCAAAGAACTTGGGTACAAATCCAATATTTGTGAGTTTGATTCCAACTGTTAGCATCTTGCTATGGCCATTTGCCCCTGGGCACTTAACCCCAAATTAGCATCTGTCAGCCGCCTTGCAAAACAACGTCAGTGAAATTGGCATCATTAATATTCCCCCTCACGCTTAGTTTGTAAGCCAAGCTGCTGTCATTGTCATTCTGTCTCTCTTCAATTCAACTTTTCAGAAGCCAGTCTCAGAACTTTTTACTTCCACATTTATTTGGCAGAACAAACTCTATTTCATTCGCTTATCGAAATTAACTCCTTATTCTAGCGTGCACTGTTTGTTCTGTCAAGATGAAAGATTCAAATTAATTGCTATATACTGCTTACCTTTATCACAGCACCTCATTCCCCCAACTTCCACACGTCCTCTAGTTTCCATGGTAACAGAGGTAAAGGAAGAACACCCTAATAAATGTGAGAAATGTTGCTTCATTAGACTAACTGTGGGAGTTTGCAAGGGAGAAACGGGGGCTGCTTAGAATGCAAATATTATATATGAATAATAAATTATAGTTGACATTTCTAAAACAGCGTCTACATTTTCTTGGTGCCTAGAGGTTTCGTCTCAGAATGTGGCCTATACAATATGTATGTAACATTTGCCGAACATGGCGTTTTAAATGCAGTAGAAATATTTTACATGGTGTTAATTTGCATTTGATTAGTGGTTTTCACAGAAGTTGCATCAAATGAAGAGTTGAAAATATTTTGAAATATTTGGACTATTTGGAAATGTAAATATTACACTATTATCACAATTATCCTGTTCTGCAACAATGGGAGTACAGATCATTTATAGAACAGAAAAATAAATCTCACCCACCTGTTTTCTAACATTGACACTCTTGAAAAGGTGGTGCTTCAACAGTTCTTAAGTAAAGAAAATGGTTCTATATAGAACCATGAACACTCAAAGAACCCTATGCATGATTAAAGTATTCTTTGCATTGTGAAAGGGTTCTTCAGACTGATGGATGGTTCTATATAGGACCCAAAAGGGTTCTCTTATTGCTACAGTGTCAAGCTTGTAACAAAAGAAGAACCGTTTTGGGTGCTACATACAACCTTTTTCAAAAGGGTTCTATATAGAACCATCTATAGCACATTCATGCACATTTTCCATCAATCCAAAGAACCCTTTCATGATGCAAAGAACCCTTTAATCATACAAAGAGTTCTTTGAGTGTTCATGGTTCTATATAGAACCATTTTCTTAACTGAAGCACCATCTTTTAAGAGCGTAGATAGAAATGTTTTAATTAACAAAGGTGAAATTATTTCATGTCTTTTCCCTCATATTCAGCTATTAACTTCAAGAGCTGTTGGCACTTTGCAGATATTTCAGTTGTTTAAACCAGCCCACCCTCAATAACGCTGGAGTTCAATTCAATTAAATGGCTAGATGTGCGCTCTTTTTTAATCTGTTTATTATGTCTATCTAAAGTGATGGCCAGTGATAAGGTCAGTCTGCTTTTAATCACAGAAGTTCGACTGGTGGTGGAACATCACTTCTCAAATGTTCAGATCTCCTTTGTAGAATGACATTTTATGGAAACACACTCCTACACCCTTAAAACACTTTTGGAAGCTTCTTAGTTTGTCCCCATTTTGTCCCTGTTTGATTCAAGTTTTTTCCAAGAACCAAAAGAAAAGTCAAGAACCTTTTAGGAACCTTTATTTTTAAGATTGTATTTACTGGAATTGAAGTGGAATGACAGCTGAGTGGAGTGGAGGTGAGTGAAAATCAGATGAGTTGAGTTGAGCTATGTTGAATGGAGTTAAAATGGAGTTGAGTTGACCAGAGCTGAGTTGAGCTGAATTGAGTTGAGTGAAGCAGAGTAGAGCTGATCTAACTTGCATTGATTTGTGCTGAGATGAAACCAGATGAAATGAAATTACTTGCCTTGAGCAGAGCAGAGTTCGGAAGAGCAGAACTGAGCAGAGCTGAGCTAACTTGAGTTGATTTGAGTTGATCAGAGCTGAACTGAGTCGAATTGAACTGAGTGAATCAGATTAGAGCTGAGCTGAGCCAACTTGATCTGAGTTGAGTTGACCAGACCTGAGCTGAACTGAATTGAGTTGAGTGGAGCAGAGATGAGCTGAGCTGATCTAGCAGAGCAGAGCGAATATATGATGACTTAAGCAGAGCAGAGCTGAGTTGAGTTAGGCAGCGCAGAGTTGAGTTGAGCAGCTCTGAGTTCAGTTGTGTTCAGCTTAGTTGTGATGAGCTGAGTTGCATTGATTTGAGTGGAATAGAGGTGATGGGAACTGTGATGAGATGAGAAAAGCTGAGTTAAGTTGAATTGAGTGGAGTAGAGTTGAGTTGTGTTCAGTTGAGTGGAGCTGTTGTGAGATGAGTTGAGTTGAGTCACAAAGAGTTGAGCTGAAGTGTGTTATGAAAAGTTGATTTGAGCTTTGAGTTGAGATTTTTTTATTTATTTATTATTATTAACGAGGGTAGTCACATTGAGATTAAAAATTTCTTTTGCAAGTGATCCCTGGCCAAGAAGGCAGCACCCAACAACCAAGAGAACAGTCAACAAAGAAAAAACACAAAGAAAAAACACCACCAACAACAAAACCAAATCAATATGTTGAGCTGAGTTGAGTTGAGCTGAGTTGAGTGTTGAACTGAGTTGAGTTGAGATATGAGGAGTTGAGCTGAGTTGTCTTGAGTTGTCTGGAGTTTAGTTTTTCCTCATGGTTTCTCTAATATTTGCCCCCTCCAGGTCCTTGACAGCCCAACAAGATGCAACAACATTCAATGGAAACTTCACCTGCCCATGAAATCCATCACTTCTAAATATACACAATTTTCCTAAAGGGTGCTCCTAGCATCTCCATCTTCCCCAACATGGCTGGGATTCGCCACCAAAATATCCAATTTCTATGGCTCCCCCTGGTGGCATTTCTGCTGCTCCTGCCCCCCCAGATCCAGCCCAGTCCCAGGTACCTCCCTGCCCTGCCTGGCACCAAACGTGAGATTGTGATGGAGGGTGACCTGGTGATTGGTGGCCTGTTCCCTGTGCACGAGAAGGGCGAGGGGACGCAGGACTGTGGGAAAATCAATGAGCAGCGAGGAATCCAGCGGTTAGAGGCCATGCTGCTGGCACTGGATGAGATCAACCAAGATAATCGCATTTTACCAGGCATCAAGCTGGGGGCACACATCCTGGACACCTGCTCCAAGGACACGTACGCACTGGAGCAGTCGCTGGAGTTCGTCCGGGCATCACTCACCAGAGTGCACCAGCCTGGCTTCATCTGTCCTGATGGCTCCAACCCAGTTCCGGACGAGGTGCCGCTGGCTATATCGGGAGTGATCGGAGGCTCGTACAGTGACGTTTCCATACAGGTAATGGGGGACTGTGTTGTTTAAAGCTGAGTTTATTGTGTTGACCACTGCAAGCGTTAAGAATGGTATTACTTTGTAACAGGATACCTTCAAATACATATTTTCCTAGAATAGCTCAGATAATAGAAGCACTTAACTGCAAGTGTCCAAGTATTGTACATTTAAGATCGAATTCCAACTTGCCACCCATTTCAATACTGGTTATAAAAAGGCCTCAACCACTTGTTCTTGGCATTTCCCCTTGGGGAAAACCCCAACGGCATCTTAAGGCCTGCTTGGTCAAATGATTGAGGGACTGAGTGAACACAAGTGTCAATTTCAGCAGCAAAACTTGCCCAGAAATCACTGACCGGCAGCCAAAGCCACAGCTGTAAACTACCTTAAAATGCTTAATAGTTCAAAACTATAACATTTGATTTGATGAGCAAACTAACCCCATCTGTTATACATGACTGTTGATACGACTGTATCACTTGACTCTGTTAGCTTGCTAGTTGGCAAGCTAGGGGTACATGGCTTGCAACAAAAAGAAAAAGCAGTACACGGTTCTAAAGCAAAGCAATATTTGTACAAACTAGCTGATTAGTTGACTGAGGATAGCTAGCAGAGGATAAGTATGTTCCAATTGAAAATGCTCCCTGATGATGCCAAGGGTGTGTAAAAAGTACTGAAACAAGGCATTTGCCATGTACCACAGATTCATTCTCAACAGTAGAGGTGGCAGTGATTAGCATTCTCCTCCAAGCATGTTGAAACATTAGAAAATTCTGAATATATGAAATAGCCAGTACAGTGCCAACATCCCATCTTTATGTGGCAACTGAGTGATTAGCATTCTCCTCCAAGAAGGGGCATCACTAGAGGTTCATGGATAGGGGGGCTAAGCCTGTACTTGCGGGGTCTGAGGGCATGGTCCCCAAAATGTTTATAATGCACTCTTAGAGTAGCAATGGAGAGAAAATGTCGAGTACATCAGCCGTGTTAAGTATATCAAAAATGGTTATTTGGTCATATTGGCAAACAGAGATCTGTCTCTTCATAGTTTGTATTAAGCCAGAATAACAAACACTATCATATCATCCACTTACAACAGGCACAGATCAAGCAAAGGTACTGAAGTCAAAGAATGCTATCTCTTCTCTCTTAGATAAGCTGCAAGGTTCTAAATACATTATTCAAACACAGATTATAGATCTGTTCAGTCTCAGATGGCGCAGTCAGAAAAAGTGTCTTTTTGCTCTGTAGGCATGTTTAAATAGCCAGGTGACAGAATTTCATGGTCATGGTGACAAATATTATATTTTCTGAGTTAAGTGAAATTAATTTCAGTATTAATTTTAACCGAAAGCTTGTACAGCTCTCCCTCAACTCTAACCTCCATCAGATCTGATCCTTCAGTCCTTTTAAGTCTCCTTCAGCTTCTTTTGCTCCACCTCCTCCTGCGCGAAGTAATACATTCATTTTATTAAACTCAAGGGAATAATGAGAGATACATCAATTTAATTTTTTTTGTTTTAGCTAGGAAAAAAATCTTCTCATCTGGAGCTGCTGACTCTTATTTTCCATCTAAAGTTTGAGAAATTGAGGGATATAAAACTGTGTTATGATGACCTTTTCACACAGAGCTGAAGTCAGGAATCTTGTGAATAGGAAGCAGCTTCAGCTTCGTCCTTTTCACTGACGTTAACTTACTGTAAACAATATATGGCAAATAGTGGTGTCATTTTTTTTTCCAAATACTGAAGAGAAATCTAAACACAAAGAATATAAAGAGCCGTCAATAACTTTATTTCTGTTCCTCTTGTTTGTTTGAACTCTCACTCTAAGTGAGGTTAAACTAGTAGGCTTGCCAGCTAATTAGATAACAGTGGTATTAGCCTAGCCTCTTTTCTTTAACTCACTCAAACCCAAAGTTAACTAAAGTTAGCTAGATGAAGCAACCAAGTGAAACAGACATCCAGCTATACTGACCATAATTTGCCACAAATCCATATTGTAGGTTGAAATTCACTCTGTTTAACACTGTTTCACTCGGCATATTATAGATTTTGAATGGGGTCTAAAGTTTATTCTAGTAAGCTTTCAGTCAAACTCCTGTCTTCAGCTCAGTTACCAATTACTTTGCAATGCATAAACAGAGCCCCTCCCCAGGTCCGATATGATTGGTTTACAACATATGAGGTCAGATATGATTGGCTGAATGTCACATTAGTCAATCTCTGGTAGTACAGTAGAAGCAGCGCTGCATTAGAGCAGCAGCAGCAGCGCCTCCCCCAGGTTGCGCACTGCTATTACAGTATATTGTGAATGAGAATAAACTACAGCTGGTTTGGACTAGTAATGTACATTTACTTAGGAAGGAGGGCTAAATAACATTTGGGGGGGCTAAAGCCCCACTAAAATTGGCCTAGCAATGCCCATTCCTCTAAGCATGTTGAAGTAATACTGTGCGGTCAGCTAACACATGTTTAGATGCTAAACATCTGAGTGCAATTTTAAACTTTTGTTGTTGGTGGAAATTCTGCATGGTTTCATTAAAAAACTTTTGGTAATCATTGATTGGTACTTTCAACCTAAACCCCCACAGGTCTGCCAGCAGTGGAGCATCCTCCATACAAGCTGCTGTGCGTTACTGCGGAGAACACTGGGGCTGCGGGTGTAAGCATCCTTAATTACCATGCCTGTTCCTTTAGGCTGTCAGTGCCAGAGAAACGGCCGAGCACTAATTACGCTCCCACTGACTGTTCCGCGGGACTCGATGCTTAATAATTCCTTCAGCTGCTGATGGTGCGGCGCGCACACGAGAAACATGTCAGCTTTTGGTGGCCACTGCTGCGGAGGGAAGCATGTGTCAGCTTTTTTGCCCGTGTTCGCCTGGACAACCTTCGGCCACATGAGGATTTGTTGTGTGTTGTTTTCTTATGCAAGAAGCAGTGGCATGTTAAATGTCAGGGAGCTGTCGGCTTGCTGGAAGCGTAAGGCTTCGAATTTTCATGCAGCTGCAACAGTTACAGTAGATTTAGTTAGAGACACTGACCAGCATTTTTCAACGGAGCACGAATTGCCATTCCCAAGGCAGCTTTTCAAAATGTCCAGAATTGTCTGGGACTCTCATCTATCATATAATTTTTTTTCATTCAAAAAACACCAGCTGCCCTTTACATTGACTTTGGTCCATGATTAATGGTCCAAAATAAATATGGTTAAAGAGCCACATTGTAAAGTCTGAAATAATAATTTGAAACTCAGAGGTGTGAGGTACGAGTTTTTCAGACCACATCATATGTCTTTACCTATTAATGTCATAAGTACAGTCTCCAAAAGAAGGTCTGACTCCATGTTCAGAACTCAAATGCAAAAACAATATTATACTGATGACAATAGTAGATAATTCACTCACATCCTTGGAAGATCCTCGCAGTTCACTTTGAATTCAGGGAAGGGGGCCAAAACACAACTCACGTTGTAAAACGTTCTTCTGCACAATTACATATTTCCACCAGAGAGGTCTCCAAATCCCCTAATCTTACATAGTGTAGCTGTGAAGATAAGAATGTTTTATGTTACAATACACTACTCTAAGGCCTCTAGGGTCATTAGTCCTTTTTCCAGTGTGGCCAATGTGGGACACTGTGCATGTTTTTGGCGCAAGTTACTGCATGGTCAGTTGAATCTACCATGTTATAATTATTGATATACAGTAAATTTTACAGATAGATTTAAGTTACTTTCAGTTGCAATCAGTCAATTTTGGAATAAAATTTATTTAGTGCCAGTTACTGGTGCACCCACATTCACCAGTGACCACGCCTTCTGAACAGCAACTACTGCTCTACTGACAAGCGGTGGTCAGTGCTCTAACTAAAACTACAGCAACTCTTGCAGCTGCACTGTTTGAGCTGACAGCTCCTTGACAGTTGACATACCACAGCTTCATGTATAACAAAAAAATGACCGCAAGTCCTCAAGCTGGCAGTTCTCATGTGGTCCATCTGGTTGTCCAGTCAAATTCTGTAAAAAGCTGACATGTGGACAAGACTTTGGATCTCCACACCTTCAGTCAACTAATAGCTTAGATTAATAGTTAATAGCTTAATAGTTTATTAATTCATTTAGGGAAATAAATTGAAGTTCTAATAAAATTAACATTCAGAATGCAGTTTTAATGCAATTAATAGTTTAGTTTAATAGTTAATCATTTCAGTTTATCAATAAATTTAGGGGACAAAAGCTTTTGATAAAAGCTGGTGACTGTCAAAATGTTCGACTGTCAAAAAGTTGGAATCACTTGCCAATCTTTGTAAGTTAACAAATACATTAATAACTTGTACAATGTAGAATTAAATAAATGTGATACTAATTTCATAAACTTCATACCACAAAGTAATTTTTAGATTTTTTTTCAATATTTCAAGTTGGGAACAATTACTAAATGATAAAAAATATGCTTTGATAAAAAATTATGTTTTGTTGAGGTACTGACCTTAAGATTTGGAGACCACTTGATTTATTTATTATTTAAAGCATTGATTCCAAACTTTTGAATGGTAGTTTACATATGTAAGGAGTTGCATAGACTAGTCAACTCATAAATCCACTAGTGGGCGCTGTGGGCAGCAGTCAACTAGTCAAGGACTGCCTGAAATACCACAGTGGTAAAATTGCAGTGATCGAACAGGCAGGAGAACAGAACACAAACTAAAAAGTACTTTATTTGAATTGAAACCAACTCCACTGCGAGCTACATAAGACTGCACTGTAATACAGGCTCGCCGTCACTGATAGAAAAGGGCTGTTTGAATGACATCCTAATCAACCAATCAGAGACCGTTTAGCAAGACGTACTCATAATAAAAACAGGTTTGTACTTGTGGAGTACCGATTGTCATACGCATGAGGTTATCTTGTTTACTTGCTACCAGTGGCTTCAAACCAGAGTCTGGAATAACTTCTTAAAACAAGGTAGCATGACTGTTTCCTAGCTCTGTGATGAGGCCTTA